GGTTGGAAAGTGATGCACAGCAGGATTCTTCTTAAACTTTCCCAGGTTTCCGGGTCTGTAGCGGGTTTGTGTTGCGCCCTCTGGTGAGCTCTCTGAGATGTCTGACCCATGCCAGTGTGGGCAAAGACTTCTTTTGGTTTGGTGGGGTATGTGATGCTGCTATTCCTGTAGATTAGAGCCCGAAGTTTCTAATCATTTATACAAAAGCTTATCTCATACATTATCTTAAATTCTAAATTAATTAAGCATAGTAGGATTCTCTTAAACTTTTGGGAATTATTAGGTAGATGTAGGTCAAACATGGTTCGACTGAAACTTGAACAGCTTGTGTTTTTCATCATGCTTGGAAGAAAGACACATATTTGAATTCTGTGGCCATGAGAACATGAAATGTTTGATGACCAGTGTCATTTGTCATCTTAGTTTATCTTGGTTCTGTGGTGACATACATTATCGATGCTGCTGTTCCATTGTGGAATATTTTAACAACATCCTCCTGCTGGAATGTAGTCAAGTATGCATTTTGTGTTGTTTTTCTCTTACACAGGTATAGAAAGCAGAGACCAGTGGCCTTTTCTCTCTGAATTACAGTGGCTGAGGAGAAGGAAGAGAGCAGCAAGTGTGAGTGTGGCCTGTTTTAGTTGTGTGTCTATCACCACACAATATCTGTGTCCTGAGCACAGCTCAGATTTGGGGAATTATCTCTCCAAACCAAAATGACAAACTAAAAGGCCCAAGACTTGAGCTTTGTGAGCACACTGCTTTTTATTCACCTTCCCCTATTAGTTATTTTAAGTGATTACAATGTCCTATAAACCTTGATGTCATATAAAGAATGAATTGTTTTAGTAATGCATGCCTGTAATCCCAGCATTCTGGGAGGCTGAGGTAGGAGGATTGCAAGTTCAAGCCCAGTCTGGGCAACTCAATGACCTAAGTGAGACCCTGTTCAAAGTTTAACAAAATTTAAACAGGGCTGGGGATGTCGCTCACTGTGAAGGCCCTGGGTTCTAGCCCCAGTACACACACACACACACACACACACACACACACACAGAGGGAGAGAGAGAAAGAGAGGGAGAGAGAGAAAGAGAGGGAGAGAGAGAGTTTTAGCTCTGTTTTAAATGTGTTTTGTTATGAAAATTATAGTACTTTTTTCTATTGAAAGTACAGCAGGATTTTTTTTTGGTAGAGAGTGATAGAGCAGCATCATATGAAGCATTTCTGTCAACAAAAATGTAGGGGAAAGAGGTAGATTTTGAAATGCTGACTAACATATTTGTATTTCTTTCAAATTAAAAACTTGGTTATACTAACCTTTGAAGCCAGATATGTTTTTCAGAACAGAATGAATCTGACCATTAGCGATATGACAGTTACTAAATAAAAATCATGTTACATACTCAGCAATTACAGTGTACCTCACATATATTAGTGCGAGAACAGGGGCTTTGTAACTAATGCTGTGTTCCTGCTCTTTTTTATAATAGATTAGAAAGCTGTAATGATGGGGGCTGTCTAGTAATTACATGGTGAATGCTATCCAACCAAGAATTAATTCCACTGCTTATGTATTGCATGGTAATTTACTAGATAACTTAATAAGTAATTGTAGTAGAAATTGTACATTTTAGATAATGTTTTGCTGAATGTATTTTTTATGTGTAAAAAAATTAGAATCCCAGACATAAAAAACATACTTCAAGGTTAGATCATCCTCTTTTCTATGAGACTCTGGGTACATTTTTTGTTGTTGATTTCAGTTAGAGATCTCTTTTTGCTTACTCTTGAAATTCCAGTTGGTCATAGTGAGTTTTATATAGACTTTCCTTTCATCGTAGTCTTCTGAACTGATCAGTGACTCTCTACATAAGGGAAAGAGAGCTGCCACTGTTGTTTTTTCAACTACAAAACAGAAATATTTGGTGCTGGGCCGGGGATTTAGCTCAGTGGCACCTGCGCCTGCTTTGTAAGCACAGGTCCTGAGTTTGATTCCTGGTAGCGAAAAAAGGGGAAAAAAAAGGATACTTGGTGCTTACTCTTAAAGGACTAATAATGATTAAAATTTAGAAGAATTTAGAATATAATAATTGCCAGTTTTTCTTCCTTTGAGAAGTTGTGTGGTTAAGAACTGGTATTTTTTTCAAAGAAATTGAGATTGATGTAATAGTATTATGCTAATACATTTTCTGTAAAATAATTTTACACATAAATGTTCCATAAAAACAACAAGGGTTTCCTTTCCTAATGAGTATGTTATAGGTAATTAAACACAATACTTGCCTGAATACCTGAATGTTTCTCAATACTTTATTGTTGCCTTAAAAAACAATTTCCACAAGACCATGTTTCTTCTGAGGTATTTATAAAGTAGGCAGCATAGGGTTCTGATATTCAATGTTGGTCTACAACTTAACAGAAATATTAGAGATATTTTATATCATCCACTCTTCTGATCATATATTTTTATTTTCCTCAGCCATCTCGTGGTGTATTTGAAGAAATGAAGTATTTGGAGCTTATGATTGTTAATGATCACAAAACGGTAAGAATACAGAATTGTTGTTTTTTGTTTGTTTGTTTTTGTTTTTGTTTTTGTTTTTTTTGAGACAGGGTCTCACTATGTAGCCCAGGCTGGCCTCGAACTTGTGTTGATCCTCCTGCCTCAGCCTCCTGAGTGCTGGGATTACAGGCATGAGAATCAGGAGGTTTTTTGCTTAAGAAAGAATATATGTCTTAAGCTTACTTAAGAAAGAATATATTTCACCTTAATTTATTATCTGTTACTCATTAAACCTAGATATTTAGACACTTAATTTTTTGGCAATATTAAACATCTTGATTTATTTCTTGATGTTCAGAGACACTGAGGTTTGTAGAGTTTTCACAACTCTGTATTTTCCCCCTGTTAAATAATGATTATAATTAATAGCTTTAGCTAATTGACATCTTTCATTTGTCTTCATTCAACATTCTCATTCTCTGCTTTTCTTCATCTATGTTTGGTCACTGATTCCTAATTTTATTCCATGCCTATGTTCTGTTAATATGTTATTTTTAACTTACTATTTATGACAAATATAATTATAGGAGATAAACACAAAATAAAGATATAGGCAGAATGCCTGTCTTTAACCAATGATTTATTTTGTTAAACATTGGATGGATGATTAATCTTGTGTTACACCTGTGGAAGTAAAATACGATTGAATGTGACATTTCAGTAATACTCTAAAGAAATATGAAAATCATCCCTCTCCAGTTGCTCTTCTTGAAGATAAAGTAGAAACTCTCTTAACTGTACTTTCCTTAGCCCTTCCCCTGTGCTATGTCTTGGTTGAAGCCTAGAGCATGCAGAAGGGTCTTGGTCCATGGTTATGTGCCACCATGCCCAACTGTGTTGGTGTGCTGGTAAATTTTAACAGTCTGTTCTCGAGGTTGGGATTTATGTTTGCTGATCTCAGTTGTATAAATATTCCCACTATGGCTGATTTCACTCTACCTAAGTGAGATCATTAATTGAAGAAGTAGGCAAAGATGTGTCCAGTTGTCTCTTGTGAACTGGGAAGATCTGGCTTCAACATTATTGCCACACTCTCCAAACTGTTTAGACTAGTTGTTATTTTTGTCATAGTTATGCAATTTAATTCTAAAAATTGCATATGCTAAGTGTAGTTGTTTTTTATGAAAATGAAGTTGCATTTCTGGAAAGACTATGAAGGTGAGAATCTATAAAAATGTTTAAAAGTCAAATGTGGGTGAAAAACATGTAAAAAAACTGGAGCAAGAATTCAGATTGCCTTGTACTGTTAAATCCTTGTTATACTTTCAGGAGTCCAAAATTAGATTAATAGAGTAATAAAGTTGTGATACATGCTAAAATGACAACTTGCAATTTTAATTAGCAGATCCTACTCAAGTGCTTGCTGCATTACATTTTAAAAATGACAACTTAATTTATACTTAAATGTTGAGTCTCCTCCTTTAATGGATATTTAAATTAATCACCAAACACCAATTGAGTTGTGTTGAATATAAAGTTTTTTCTCAAGATTTCTCTAATTTTCCTATGCAAATCTATTTTCTGTTCCAGCAGCCTTTGAATACATTTCTTGAGATATGTCAATAAGAAGCAGAATATATCAGAATTACATACAGTTTAGAGTAGGCTTCCCTGGTGGGAAGGAAAACCAAATTTGTAGGCAGGGATTCCAGATAACAAAGGCTAAAATATGAGTTTCTGAAGGACATTAATAAGGCTTTTCATCAGAATTGTTTTTGGGGATTGGGACATTGATATGTATTTCCAGCTTCTCAAATCTAAGCATGTTATGAAATTATGGCTTTAGAAGCCTAAGCTTTCCTCAGTATCCATTATAAACTTTTAAAGTAGTTAAGACAGTAATTAAGATATATGCATACCTTTAAACATATGAAGTGTGCTCCAAATAGTTAGGAATCTATAGAATCAGTTCTCAAACCTTGACTTTCAATTCTGAATTTTTTTGTGCCATTGTACTATGTATGAAAGGAAATGAAGATATCAGAGAACAGATTCCAATAACCATGCAAAACAGGAAACAATACATTTTTCAACCTGATAATTTGTAAATATTTTAAATATACTTTGAATGTATTCATTTATTTTGGGGGGTGGTGATTGAGGATTGAACCCAGGACCTTATGTAGGCTACGCAAGCACTCTATTACTGAGCTATGCCACCAGCCCCCTTCAGTTTATTTTTTAACCTTTATAACTGATAAATATTTAAATAATCTTGTCTCCATCTTTCTTTTTTTTTTTCTTTTGGTACCGGGGATCAAACTCGGGACCTTGTGCTTGCGAGGCAGGCGCTGGAACACTGAGCTAAATCCCCAGGCCTCTCCATCTTATATTTAATAAAATAACACCCTTCTTAAAATATTATTTTATATATATAGAAAACTTACATACATCGCACTATATATTCTGTGATGATGTTACCTTATTCAGACTCTCACATCTTTTAATTTAAAGAAATACATTTTAAACCAATAAATCATGGTAATTCGTCTTATTAGAATTATTGTTAAAAGAGTGAGAACTTGCCATGATATATTCATCTGTCTTTGAGGCCAGGAAAAAAAAGAACTGTAATTTGTACTAAAAAATTTGAAGGGAATGTATGTTAAAAAGTGAAGGAGAAAACAAGAAGAAAGCTTTTACTTTGAGTGGCAACAATGCCTAAAGTAGAAAGAAATTACCTAAGATGATTCCTATTATCATAAAGAAATACTATTTTTTGACGAGTAGAACTAAGAATATTCATTTTGCTTAAAGACCAGGTAACTGTATATTTTTGTCTATTATAATCCCAAATAAATAAGTCATTTTTAAAATTTTTTTTTAATTTTTGGTTTGTTTTTGTTTTTGGCACTGGGGATCGAACTCAGGACCTTGCACTTGTGAAGCAGGCAGAGTGCCACTGAGCTAAATCCCAGGCCCCAAATGAGTCGTTTTTTAAGAAGTTTCTTTTGAGAGTTGAAAAAAGGTACTTTTTAGAGGTATTCTTTTTATAAAGTGAGGATAGTATTTAAATATAATTCCCACGAAACACCAAAAATGTAGTAAATCAGAACATAAATCAGATACTTAAATTCAAATGCTAGAAGTCTAACTGAACTAAAATATCTAGCACATCTATTTTTTTAATGCTTGGAGATTTGCTCTTGGGCTTTAGAGTAATCATCCCACCGAGAATGTACATCTTACAATGTTTATACCATGTGAGGTAGCAGTTGTTTTGATAACTATTACCTTTGGGTTGAAAGTAAGTTTTAATTTCAATATTTTCAAAAGGCAAATTTCTTAAAGATTTTATTTGCTCAGGGAGTGAAAACAAATTTGCCAGTTTAAATGTAAATTGTTTTCAGTGATAAGAAAATGTGAAGGTAAGTTTTATCCTAAGTAGAGATTGCACATTTTTCTTTATTTGCAAAATTAGTTCTTATTCATGGGGGAAATAGAAACATTTTGCCTACATTTGCATTCAGGCTTGCTTCTGTAATTCAGAGTAACCTAATATTGGATGCCTGAAAAATGCACATATCTTATTTTAAAGAAGCTTCACATTGTGGGTACCTTTCAATTAGGAAGAAAAATTTCTCCATTTTCCAGAAAGCATTTTAGTACCTGGCTGACAGAACCTAATTTGAGAACTAATTGCAGCATTGATGAAGAGTCTGCAAACATTTCTTTGAGTCTCTTAAGCTAAAAGTGAATATTAAAACCTTATCATAATAGAGAATTTGTTGAGATATTGTAAAGTGTGTGAAAAGCAGGTGTTTTGCGTACATTTTTGCTGTATTCTTAAGTATAAGCCAATAAGCACAAACTTTTTCAATTTAAATCTCATTTGGTTTTTCTCACTCAAATAATGCTATATTTTATATATACCTAACAAATTATATGTTCTCATTAATAATTGTGATTTGTTGAGAATATACATAAACTATTTACGGTAATAAGGATTTTTAACTGAACACATTTCTCTCCTGTCTCAACCTAGAGTAGGTTTTGAATTTCAGCCACGTGATCTTGGATAAGTTATTTTCAGATAATACACCTCACAGAGCTGTGAGGAGTGAATATTTGTTGTTGTAGAACACCTAGCTAGTCCTAGGACTTGATGTTCAATTAAAGGGCGCCCCAAGTTAACGCATCTGATAGTCATTGTTCTGTCTTTACATACTCTTCCAGCAGCATTGGGCCATCAGCTACTCTTTTTAGAAGCGTTCTCTTCATCGCTCAGCTTCTGTGACATATAGCTCTTGTACCTCACTGGCTATTTTATTTAAATCTTTTAAATTTAATCCCTAGAATTATAAGAGTGCCTCATGTTTTGGTTTGGGTTTTCTCTTTCTATTTTCTCTCTTTCTGAATATCAACATCCAGGCTCAAGTCTGTAAGTAGTATCATGACTTTAAACTCTTTACTTCCTACATTATAGCTCTAATCTTTGTGGTTTTTTTTGGTACCGGGGATCAAACTTGGGTCCTTGTGCTTGAGCAACAGGCAGCGAAACCACTGAGCTAAATCCCTGGCCCCATAGCTCTAATGTTTGGAGTTTCATGCCCATATATACAACTGCCTGCTTGTCACCTCATTCAGTATTGAATAAACATCTCACATTTAGCATTTCTGATTCAGAACTTTAAGTTTCTGTGGTGGTTTGAATGTGCCTCCCAAAAGTTCCTGAGTAGAAAACTGAATCCTCAAATCCATAAGTTAATAGTATTTGATGGTAGAGTCTTCGAGAAGTAACTAGGATTAGATGAGGTATGGAGGGTGGAACCGCCATGGTGGCATTAGTGGCTTTATAAGAAGAGGACAAGAGCCTGGAGCTAGCATACTTGCTGTTTCACCATGTGATGCTTTTCACCTGGCCTTTCTCATGATTTTGAATGGCTCCACCACTCTTTATCCAGGTTCAAAACCTGGGACTTCTCCCTTTTTTCTTCTCCTTCCTCATTTTCCATCTCTAATAGGTCAACAAGGCTTCGGAGTCCACCTTCATGGTGTTTGATTCCACTCTCTTCTCCCTGCAGCATCCTGCCTACACTACCTTTTACCTGCACTGTTGCAGCATTTCTCCACAGGTCTGTCCGCTTGCATTCCTATTCCCTCTGATTCACTCCCTACACAGTAGGCAGAGTTCTCTTTCCCAAAAGAGAATCAGAGACTTGAAAATTACAAATATGAAATAAATGAAAAAAAATAACATTTTGGTAGTTTTTAAGACTTCATTAACCTTAAATTCACAAGCCATATTTTCTGTGACCATAATAGTGTAAAAAAAGATATCCCCACAAAGGACAAATTTATATTGAGAAGCTAAATAAAATTCATCTTAATATGTATGTAATACTAATTAAGAATAGGCGTCAGCTAATATTTTTTTCTTTTTGTGATGTATATTATCCAGTGGCATTTAGTATCTTGACAATGTTGTGCAACTGTTGCCTCTGTCTAGTGGAAAACCCCAAAGGAACTTAATGTGGAGACTTTTGTTTTCATTCTCGAAAGGTATCTGAAATTTTTCAACTTGTAGAATTTGATAAGCAACGTGAAATACTAAACTATTTGCAGAAACTTCATAATTCTAAATTTAAAAAGTGTTAAGGTGCCTGAAATAGTTTAGATTAATGTGATGTTTTATGACCTACTTATGTGCTTGTAGTGAAGCTTGAAAAGAACAGTTTGGGTCAAGTTATGATGCACAGTGATAACAACAACATGATTGATAATAGTAACGTGATACCAATAGTTTTTGAATTAATGAATGCTATTACTAACACATTATTAATCAATTGATCACATGCTTATGATAGGTCATCAGTGTTCTCTGTGTTAAGAAATGAACATTAGATATATAAGTATAAGAGAACTTTCTTTATCTAGGAAACATCACAAATGTAGAGCAAATGACATGAAAGAAGTCTGACACATTCATAGAGTGAAAGTGGGTAAATGAGAAAAAAGGATATAATGTTCCAGTCTAGAAAAATTTTTAATATTTATAAAAAATACATTATTTAGTAATTATAATTGAAGTCAAAACTTGAAGACTTGTAGTGTAAATCTGAATTGGTATGCTTTTCTTTTTCCTCAATTTTAAAAATCACCATAGCCTCATGGACCAGTAGAGGGCAAGATTTTCCCGTGGAGACTTCAGTATTCAAATGTCCTCTTAGAGGCTTGTTGAGCAAAGTCTGTGTCTTCTTACTAAAAACATAGCACTCCAACTGAGGGTGTAGCTCAGTTTGCTGAACACTTCTGAGTCCTGGATTTCTATCTCCGCACAGCAACAAAACAAAACAACAAAGATAGCCCTGCAGATGTTGATGTAGAATGATTCTATTAATTTACTTAATTTTCCTAAATAATCATAACCAGTCACCTGCTATCAGCACACTTCATTTTCCTTTTGTCCCCTCTTTGTAAAAAGCTTTGTTTGGAGGAGGTGTTCTTCTGAAGGAATATACTAAATGCAGAGCAGATGCATTCCATGTCATGGTCTACTGCATAAGGTGCTGTGTAAGGAATTTTCCTGATCTGCAAGTTGTTGAGTTAAAGTGAGGAAGATGTGCAAAGGAGGCTATTTTTTGGTCTAACCCCTTTATGATGTATGAAATCCTGTTTCAGTAAAAGCAAAAGGATCGCATGAAGACTGAATGAAAAAGTTACTTCTGAGGTGTAAAGCTTATCCCACAGATTCCAATAGGCCTTGTCCATCACCTGGAACACTGTGGATGTTTTAGATAAGGTTTTTGCTGCGTAAGCTGAGGGGGGTTTTCTTTGGGGTGAGGGGGAGCACCATCATATCCTGTATTGCACAAACTAAATTCTGTATTTTTAATCCTTATTTCTACTATTGCTAAGAGATTTCTGCTTTTACAGAATTTTGAAATTTACCATCAAATTAAGCTTTGGCAGTGATTGGTACATCTTCTTTTTCCTTCAGTATAAGAAGCATCGCTCTTCTCATGCACATACCAACAACTTTGCAAAATCTGTGGTCAACCTTGTGGATTCTGTAAGTATCTAGGTTTTCTTCAACCGATTTTTTTTACCAAAATGGCCTGGTTTATATCCCTAGCTCTATCTGCCCACTTGTTATTCTAGCCATTTCTGGCATAAAAATAAAAATGCAATCCCTTAGTTCATCTGACTAAGAAATTATAGGATAGTTGGCTTCAGAGATAGTAATATTATCAGAGTTTCAAGGGACTATTGAGTTATTCTCAGGATTCTAAAAAGTCATTGGCATTGCTTCTTTCTTTTACATTTATTTTTATTTATTACAATTTTAATTGTACATATTATGAAATGAAGTGTGATGATTTGATACTTGTACAGTGTATCATGGTCAGATCAGGGTAGTTAGCATTTACATTTCCTTAAATAATTAAAAATTCTTATTAAAATTAATTGTGTAACATTGCTTCTAAACTATATCTTATTGTTACCAGAGCTCAATGGGGGACAGAAAATAATGGACAAAATTAGCTACCCAAAAGAGTGAAAGTAATACTTAGTAAATAAGACTTTGTTAAAAACAGTTCAGCTTTTTTTTGGTATCAGGGATCAAACTCAGGACCTTGCGCTTGCAAGGCAGGCGGCAGCACCACTGAGCTAAATCCCTGGCCCTCAGTTTAGCTTTTCTTAAATACCAAATGTTAGTGGGCCGTAGGTTTAGCTCAGTGGTGCCGTCGCCTGCCTCACAAGCACAAGGTCCTGAGTTCGGTCCCTGGTACCAGGGCGGGATACAGGGTGTTAGTAGAGAAGTACTAATTGATCCAGGTAGACTGTTCCGAGAATATAGATAAGATAGAAAACTTCTTTAAGGAATGCAAATTTATTATCTTAGTGTTCCCATAGTGGAATGTTTCAGGCTTTATTTCTAGAATGGTACACTCTCCAAATAAAACAAATATGAAACAATAAAGTATATATCTCCTTCAGAGTCTGAGTATTCTAACAACAAATCTTTACTATTGATATATTTTTCCTTCTCTTGTTTTGTGAGTTACAAAGAATGTTAAGATTTCCTTCCTTTCTCTTGCCTTAGGTGGGAACTCCATAGACCTGAATATTATATATTATGTTTCAATAAATAATTCATAACTAATTATTCAACAAATAATTAACATAAATACAGCGTACTACTTTATATATTCTAATGTAAAGTGCTATTTTATTCAGCTAAACACATTTTTATCTGGTATCTATTGAATGTTCCCTCCTCACTGTGAAAAAAACCCGTTTTATAACTTGCCAAACACCTAAATGGTATTTATTTACTCCAAGAGGCTGCTTTCCTTTCTGCATTTTAAACAGCCCCAAACCACCAGTCATGTAAATATTCATAACATGTTTTGTGCACCAGCATATGTTATGTGCCTGGTAGGCACAGCTGAGCAAAATTATAATATAAGTGGATGTGCATAGAATATGTAATATGAAGTTAAGATTGAACATTTGAGAGCCAATTTACATCTGGTTTTATTATCTTTTCCTTAATTTCAGTTCTTGTCAATCTTAAAGGAAAGCTATGAGGAAATATAGAAAAGAGAACCTTAAATGCATCTTTTCTCCTGCAAAAGCTGTTTACTTGGTAGCATCTCTGTGTTAGTCATTTCAGCATTGGTAAATAGAATCACGTCTTGCAAAATTTAATTTTTGTGTTACCATATAAGATTCCTAAGCTGACCACTAATTTTTAAAAGACATTAAGCTTAACTCACTTTTGTGTAAAGACATTGTAGCTACAGTTTGATTTAGGCATGCTAATAGTCCCTTTTTTCAGTGTGTTCAAAGATCACTCATTGTTTTCTTAATTGGTTTGAAAATAGGACAGAATAATAGCATTCATTGAAATTGCTTAATTGTGTGAATAAATTAAGTCACTGGCCCCAAAGTAGAGGAGAACAGAAGGGTAACAGTGTAAATATTGTGAGTGACGCCACCGTGTGGGCAGGTGAGGTGGACGTTAGAAGCCTGCTCTTTTCTTTCCTTTGGCCGTAGATCCATGACTCTGTGTTATTTTGCTTTTCATGAATCATGGCTCCAAGAGCAAGCAGCCCACTTTTTTTTGGTGAACTGCTCTAATCCTGCAGGAATAACTGGTTGTATTGCTCTTAGAGCCAGTACACTTGGCCCCAATCTGTTATCTCCTGTGAGATTTAGAAAGATAATTTTGCTGAATCCTTTTCACTTTATGTTCTGTCCTGATCTTAACACTGCTACATCCCTACTATCTATTGATCTATCTATCCTTTTAAGATGCCAGGCTACAAAAGGTGCTGACCTAGGGTGGAAATAACGTTACAGGAGAATATTTAACATGAGACTGGATCGTGTGATTGTTCTTTCTTTTTTACTTTCGTTCTTGGAAAAGAGAAAGGAGAAGTCAATTCTCTCTGATGAGCTAATTCTGACCCCGTGTTCTCTCACCTCCCCCTTCCTGTCCTTCCACTGACTGACTCACTGATGATGCATGTTTGACCCAGTGTTTTCCTCCTGCACCTGTCCTGTTGTCTACCCTCAGATTTACAAGGAGCAGCTCAATACCAGGGTTGTCCTGGTGGCTGTAGAGACCTGGACTGAGAAGGATCATATTGATATCACCACCAACCCTGTGCAAATGCTCCATGAGTTCTCCAAATACCGGCAGCGCATCAAGCAGCACGCTGATGCTGTGCATCTCATCTCGTATGTACCTGTTTAGGCTTTTATCATAGCCTTTGCTTTGAAGTTTATCTATATTCCCTTATTGTATTAGTTAAATGACATACCAGAAAACAGTGACTTGAACATGATTGCCATGGCCCCTCTGCATTGTGTAAGAAGCGTGGAAATGGATTCCAGAGATGGGATCCTGGTGTTGCTATGGCTGTGAGCTCTAGCTTCAGAGCACGGAACTCACCTGTTCAAGGTCACCTCATAGTCTGGGCTGCTGCTGGTGTTCTAACCTGCATTACAGGCTGGGGAAGAGCAAAAAGGGAAGTCCACCCAGCTGAGTCCACTTTGGTAAAGCAGATTTCCTGAAAGCCTGCATGTAACAATTTCACCACCCAATAATTTGCTAGAGCTCAGCTTCGTGACCACACTTAGCTGCAAGAGTGCTGGGAAATGTAGTCTTTTCAAATGGACCACAGAATCCAGTTGAGTTTCTGTCACCTAGGAAAAGGTGTATTATGTTTTCTTTTTGCTGTAATAAGCTGTTCCCTTCCCTACTCACAGCAAAGCTGTTTTCAAACATCACTCTAAGCTACACCAATTCAAGTACTCCTTCCTCCTTTTCATCTTTACCCTTTATTTTCTTTTCTCTGTTTTTGTTATCAGTTTATAATAATTAGCAATATTTTGTATAACTACAAAGTATTCTCTAGTAGAAAAAGGTCAAGGGCTGTGGTCTGTTTATCTTTCTGTCCTTAATTCCTGTGTCAGAGCATGGTGCTTACTTGTTCTCAGTTAATGCTTGCTCAACTGAGGTTAATACATTAACTTAAAATTTTTTTTATTTATTGAGCTTATTGGTACAGTTTAGGTGGACATTATGATCACGTTCGTCATAAGGAATTTGTACCTGTACATACTATATCTTGGGTCTTCTTTTTTTCCCATTCTCCTTCCTTCCCTCCTACCCCTCCACCCCTCCCTATTTACAGAAGCTTTGTTTCCATTATTTCCTTCTATTTAAAGGTATATTTACAACATAAATTTAAATGTCTTTAAAATATAATTTTTGATTTCCTGGAGAAGATGATTTTGGGCTTTTCAGTGCAGGACAGTGGATATATTTCGGTCCCTACATTGGGTTTTCTTAAAACACTCTTTTTTTTTCTTAAGGCGTGTGACATTCCACTATAAGAGAAGCAGCCTAAGTTACTTTGGAGGTGTCTGTTCTCACACAAGAGGGGTTGGTGTGAATGAGGTAAATTTTATCGATTTTCTTTAAGTAGACCTTTATCTTTGCAGCCTATCTCCTTCTTCCTTATGACCTAATTTACATCCTTCTCATGCTTGCTTTGAATGAGGACATCAAGAATGTAGCTCGAGTGCCTTGCATTAGTAAATAGAAGCCAAAGTGGTCCTTTGGGTTTATGGTAGTATCCTTGGTTAACATAATGATAGTTTTACATATTTATCAAGCAAATGCAAACCAAAAATTGGCCCATAGATTTTTAGGGCTCTAGACATAAGATGCTGAATTTTTATAAGTTTATTAATCCATTCCTTATAATGTTTTTTAAAGTCACAATGCTCTTCTACACATTAGATTTATCTCATTTAAATAAAAGAATTCATGATATTCATATTTTTCTCCCTATATCTATTTTTTCATTTTAAGTCTTCTACTTACTTGTAGAATGTGTCATAATAAACATTTCTTAATCATTGTTTGATTTTTTAATAAATTTATATTTATAAAGAAAATTTTTAGTTGGCAAAAGCACCTAAAATCCCCAAGCAACTCTATTTAAATCCTTGTTACTACTGGGACTTGTTGTATCAGGTTATCCTAATAGCCATGGATTGGTGGGGACCTCTTGGTGTATTTATAGTAAGCTGAACTTCTTAGTTTGGTATAAGTTGAACTGGAGCACAGCCTTTTGTGACTTGTATTTTGTGTTTCCATGTGAGAGCTTCAGGTCCCAAGAGGTGCCACACAGGAGGGGCTTTCTGTTTCTTGGGCCCAGTTGGGAGGAAGAAGTGATAAGGAGCATATGGCATCCCTAGATGTAGTAAGGCTCTGCTTAAGGAACTGAGATGATATATGGTGACAACTAAGAAATAATAACTAGCTTTGTGCACTTTCTCAAATGTTTCCCACACACTTTCAACTCTGAAAAACAGTATGGTCTTCCAATGGCAGTGGCACAAGTTTTATCACAAAGCCTGGCTCAAAACCTTGGGATCCAATGGGAACCTTCGAGCAGGAAGCCAAGTATGTACATTGACCTTACTTTGTGTGCTATTCTGTCTGTATAATGCATGTCCTGTAGATAAAGTTTTCATTCCTCAATCATTGTAGTTTAATTTTATGTATCCTTCCTCTAAATGATTTATAAAATGAGAAACTTGAAGTACTTCTTAATCTATTTGGGATAAAGAAATTTTCCTTTCAAAACCATGAAATCACACCCAGTTTCTTAGGCTGTGAGTTAGTTCTTTCTCACATGGCAGAATGTTGGGGTGAATATGGCCCCCTGGGTTCTAGCCATTTGAGAGTAGACACAAGATACTAGAAGACGCTCCATACAAGTTTAGTAATAGTAAATTGGGAAATAGGTAGATCTAGAGTCAAGAAGAAGTGCATATTTAAACTCTAAAGTCACCTACTCAGTTGCATCAGAAAAGTGAAAGAAGGTCCCCCTAGACCAATGATGGCCAACCTTTTAGAGCTTTCAGTGCTAACAAATACCTGTGGTGGCACACGTGCTATAGGTTCACCACCACTGCCTAAACTGAGCTGCCTCCAGGCCTTTTAAATTTGGGGTGGGTGGCCAAGGAGAGAATTCTCCTGTGATGCATAGACAGGTCCAAGAAAGAGTCCAGACAGGAGTCCATGGACCCCATGCAGTTAAAAAGCATGATGAATGACAATTAGCTGGCACTTTTTTCATTAATCAAACAAGAGATGCAAAGACAGGACTGATTTATCCAGTGAGCAAAGTGTCTAGGACCTACCATAGTTTTAGAGGCCCATGAAAATCTCTAACTTCTTTTAAAATTAGAAAAAAGTCCAGCCTGAGTTATATTCCCCTTCATGGCAACACAGTAGAAAATATAATTTCTGTGGCAGAAGGCAAAGTGAAGATCTACAAATGTCATAATATAGTCTTGTGGAATGAGAAGCCATGTTTACTCATATTATGCACTGAACTAGAAATTAAGTGGAAATCCCTTCCCGTCTGTGTCAATATGAGACAATATGAGACATTATTACTCTAGCCTCCTCAAGAAAAAGAAAAACTACTTTACCTTTATTCTACATTTGATACTTTGGGTCATTAATGCATAATTATAGAAATTAAACAAAATGTACAACCATGGCCTTTTTGATTCCCTTTATGAGTATTAAGTGATTGAGCATGGAGTCATCACAGCTGTCTGGAGGCATCTTGCAGATCCCCACTAGCTAACATTTACTGTCTTCTCAGAGTATTTGCTTTCCCAAGGAAATACACGTTCCATATTAAAGAGGGTGGGTAAACTTTTGTCAGCTGGCATAGATACCTTCAAATCAGAAGTTGTCACTAGATTTATAACATTGTTTGACAGTCCTGGAGGGTCGTGCTTGGGTTATTGAGTTGGATAGTGGAGTAGAGTGAGAAGTTGAGTTCATATCCAGTGCCTCTTGTGGTTTCTTCCTTTCTACAATTCTTTATTCCTTTGTGAATTGTTTGTTTAGCTAGCTATTTCATTACTTCTAAAATCTGTTTTTAAAAAACCACTTAGAAGTATTTCTTTAAAAACATCTTTATCTATGATAGAAGAGAACAGGAAAAATAAATGAAAGGAAGAGCCACCACAGTATCATTATGTCAATCTCTTAATCTACATTAAATTGATAATTGCTACTTAGGTGACTATGTACACTTCTATTTTTTTTTTTT